AATTATGTAGAGGCTTGAAACCCTCCTTTCTGACACATATATAATGACATTTTGTGTATTACATAAATAAGGTGATACCATACATATTGATGCCCAAATTAGTTGACTCTTTTTATCACAGCAGAGACACCTTTTGGAGTTAGTGAATTCTAGTACACTTGCAATAAATATCCTTTTGTCTGATAGACTGACTTCCTATTAATGTTCTCAAACAGGTGGAAATTATGATGATGGTGGAAGACAGGACAAGGTTCTGATCTGATCTGGTCTCACTGACTCGGAAGAACCTCACAACAACAATAACCAGTGATCTTGTGCATTATTGCATTTGTTTGTTGGCCATTTGAATGTCTTCTTCAGCAATGTATCTATCTTTTCATATCCTCTGCCCATTTTGTGTTATCAAATTTTTAAATCTCACAACCTCTGTATACACTTAAAGATCTGCAAGGATTCCCAAGGAACTTATCTGTGGAGATTATCACTATCAACTATTCATCACATAACACATTATGGCTGAAATTTTTAAAATTTTAGACTAAAAGCTTAACAGAACTTGCTAGTATTTTAACAGTAGCGCTCTCAGATAATTGTCAATAATCTTGTTTGATATTAAACCAAAACCAAAACCAAGTAAGGTGCTTTCTTAAAGTCTGTGGCAATTTAAAATTTGAAACTGTATCAATGAACTTTGTTTTCTATTAAAAATAATTGGTTTATATTCTACTTTGAAGTAATCTTTCGTCTGTGTGTGATTTTAAATACCATGCACACTTCAGTTGGCACTCTGATATGTAACCACTCATCTACCAGTTGCTGACTACTATGTAGCCAATAAAAAGGGGGCTGGGGGTTGTTTGCCAGGGAGTTGGAACCAACCCATAGCTGACCTTCTGGTGGGTTTTCATAGGCAGTAAATCAGGAAGATTGGCCATCTTTCTCCTGTAGAGCAGCTGGTGGATTCAAACCACATGCCACTGGGTTGACAGCATAGTTCTTTATCACTAGACCACAAAGCAAGTGCCTTACAATTCATATAAATAAAAATACCACATTTATGAATACTGCCACCTCTCTATCATAAATCCTTGTACACAAAAAAAGATACAGGATACAAGTTCTACAAAATTGTAATTTTCAAAATTTTATCACTTCAAACAAATACTAACATTTGTTTTCTCTCAAAGGACAGACCTCTTTATTTTTGAGAAAATATCAAATACCCAAGGAAGTAAGACTAATGACTTCTCTATCATCGTGTGAAGCAGGTCAGCTTGCAACACAGTCTACCAAACCAAGTACTTTTTTCTTAGTTGTTGCTGAGTACTGTCGCATCAGATCTGACTCACAGCTGAGCCTCCAGCACAATTTGAAGGCTGTTAAGTCACATGGGAGGAGACTGTCCATCTTTCTCCCATGGACCAGTTGGTAGATTGAAACTGTGTGCCTTTGCTGGGCAGCACAACTCCTCCCTGCTAGACCACCAGAGCTCTTATAGTTGGGCCTATCACCATAAAAGTTCAGTGCAACTAAAGACTTTATGCAAATTTCTGCTTTTTAAAAAAATTACAGAGGAAAAAAAGATGTACTCATGGGCCAAGACTTATAAAATTAATAATTTCTGTTGCTTCATCAAAAGCATTCCTAAGAGAAATGAACTTATTTCAAACTGGGAGTGAATGGCATAAGAATTAGATATCTCCTGTGCTAAGGTAACTATATTAGTTTGGTACCTAGCATGGATACTTACACAGTGAAAGAGGCAAATCTACTGTATTAATAAGAAGGATTTAACCTCTAGATCCTCTGAAGGAATTATCAGGAAAACTGAGGGGTAAGGATTAACACTGCCAACCCAAAAGCATGTGGTTCAAATCTACCAGCTGCTCCTCAGGAGAAATATGGACAATCTTCTGTGCAATTTACTGCCTCTAAAAACCTGCAGAAGGGTTAGCTATGAAGGAGTCTATCTGACTCAATGGCCCATAACAACAGTGTACTAAGAGGGAGCTTTGGTGGTTTAGTCTGCAGGAAGCTGCACTGCTAACCCAAAGTCTATGTGTCTCCAGCAGAACAAATCTCAGCAGAAGAAAGATGGGCAGTCTCTTTCCATTACAGTTTGTAGTCTCAGACATTTAAGGAGGTTAAGGGAGTTAGTGAGTGAAATGAGTAAACTAAACTGTTCTGTACTTGGTTATGAGATTCCTGGGTCATTGGCATGTTTTAAATTCTTCAAAACCTCTCCAAAAGTCAACACCAATTTTCCCTATATATAAGATGGTATCAGGAGCTCTGGTGGTTAAGTGGTAAGGAGTTGTGTGGCCAACCTAAAGGCATGGGGTTCTATTTTACCAACTGCTCTGCAAGAGAAAGATGGGCAAACCCCTCCCCTGCAATTTACTGACTTTGACAACCCACTGGAGAGTCAACTATGGGTCAGTTCTGACTCAATGGTGTATAACAACATGACAACGTAAGACTGCATCGTCATTGTAAGTTAAAACACAAAGAATTCAAATTTTAAATTCTGAATTAAGGCAGCACTGTAGGTGATGTATTAACATATTTGCCAGTCTTTAATGTTTCAAGGAAAAGTAAAATTGAGCTGTAGCTGTGTTGTTGTTGTTGTTTGCCATCGAGTCAGAACAGACCCATAGCTGACCCTGCAGGTTTTCAGAGGCAGTAACTCTCACAGGAGGAGACTGTCCCATCTCCTGAAGAGCCTCTGGTGAATTCGAATCATGCACCTTTAGCACTGCAGCACAGCTTTTTACCACCAGGCCACCAGATAATGTGGGTAAAGTAAAACCACCTGCCCACTGCAAGTCCACTGAACAGAGGTCTTTGTTTACTGATGTGACCCTTGTTAGAAAGTATCTGATTGAATTTTTTTTTTTTTTTGTAAAATACTTGCAAACACAGGCGCTGGCTGAAAATCGCCTGTGACTTCATCCATAGCCACCGGTGAGAGTCAGCGCCCAGAGCCATCAGGGGCTTTAAGCTCGTTGCCCACTGCTGTGGTGTGGACAGCTG